TTCAATTTGAGGTTATGAGGAAATTGTATGATGTTATGGTGTGTTATAATCTCATTAGAATCATGTACTATAACTTGTTTTGACATTGCTGTGAATTGGATTCGTATGGGTATGAATTGGATGGGATTTGGAATGAATAAATGCTGTCAAATAGCAGTTTTTGACTTTTCAGGTCGCAGGAACCGGTTCCCAGTGGGGAGGAACCGAGTTCCCAGTGTAAATTTGCGAAGAAACTGACTTTTTCAACTCAGGAACCGGTTCCTGTATAGGTAGGAACCGGGTTCCAGTATTTTCCAGAATGGGTGTTTTCTGAACATCGCAGGAACCGGTTCCTGCATATGTAGGAACCGGGTTCTGCTGTAACTTTTTAAAAAATACTAAACTTTGAAAATTCATAACTTTCAAACCGTAAGTCTGTTTTGAGTGCCGTTTTGGACGTTATTTCTTAAATTAAATACTCTATCTTATAAAATAAGAAAAATATTATTTTATGAAAAATTATTTTAAAAAGAGACGAATTTCCAATTTTTGGTAAATCCTGGTATTTTGAGAATGATGTAGAATCGTTGTGAAGTGTTCTGATTTGGTGAATGAGAATTGATACTCATGTGTTGTGCCTGCTATCCATTATGATTGAGATGTGATCCTGTGGTATATTGGTTTTGGCATTATTTGGAATTATGTTGTGATCATATTCCGTTGATTGATATGGCATGTTAGTGATGTACATGCATATGCATTATTTTGGTGAAGTTAATTCCCATTGTGTGGAATTTGACTTGTATTACCGTTAACCGATACCCGAGAGTGATGGATGGTTAGGATGGATTCATGTCCGAGTGTGATGGACGAATCGATGATTGCTTCGGCTGGATTCATGTCCGAGTGTGATGGATGAATCGATGGTTACTGTATCCGAGTGTGATGGATCAGTGATGGTGACTTGGTCACGTGTTGGTACCACATGCATTGTGTCTGCATTTATATTTGCATAGAATTGTAACATGTTAGGATGTCTTCCAGTGTTACAATTCTTTGGTTGATTTTTGAATTGTGTATAATGACTTGTATGATTGGAACTGTGTGTTGAATCTGAGTTTATGCTAAAATGGGTGAAATAATATGCTTGTGATATAATGTTGATTTAGAAACTTATAATGCATGTTAATTATGAGAAATCTCACTCTTACTTTAATGATTTCAGATTAAAGTTAGCAGCTCAGGGGTTGGTGAGGATGGCTCTAGAGCTATGTTATTTTGAGTCCGCGTGTCAGTGTCGTGCTCTGATAGGTTGTAACACTGGGGGAAACGTTTGAATGACGAGTTTCATTTTCTATTGTTTAATTTATGTTGGGAATACTTATGAAGTGAAGTTATTCCGGTTTTGAGATATTTCCGCAGTGTAGAACATGATGTTGATTTAAATATTTATTTTAATAATTCCTTCAGTAAAGCATGACAACTGTAAAAATTGAGGTTTTATATTTATCTTGAATTGTGACATCCCTGGTTTTTCATGTTACTCTGATTTAATTAATATATTCGCGGGTTATTTAGAAGGGGTGTTACAGGAGCCACCTACTAGCGATTAATGGATAAGGTATTCTCCACTCAAATCAACAGGAACCTGGAGGTGTACGTGGACGACATGGTCATTAAAACCACTGTTGGAAAACGGCATGTAACAGACTTGAAAGAAATATCTGCATCCATAAGACAGTACGACATGAGACTCAACCCAGATAAATGTATCTTAAAGTTCAAGCTGGAAAGTTCCTAGGGTCCATGCTCACTAACCGTGGGATAGAAGCCAACCTGGACAAGTTCCAGGAGATCATAGACATGCATAGGCCGTCTTCAAAAAAAGAGATACAACAACTAACGGGAAGGTTAACCTCTTTTTCCAGATTCCTATCATACTCCGGAGATAGCGAGATCCATTTCTTTTCAGCCCTCATGAAGTCAGAGGAGTTTGAATGGAAGGAAACATGCAAGGAAGCCTTTCAAGGAGTAAAACACTTCTTGTCCTCTCCGCCAATCTTGATGAGGCTGAAAGAGAATGCACATTTGGTCCTATATTTAGCGATTTCTGAGAAATCCATGAGCTCAGTACTTATCCAGGAAGGGGAAGAGGGGGAAAGGTCGATGTACTTTGTTAGCAAGGTTCTGAAAGGAGTTAAGCTGTGATACTAGAAGATTGAGAAGTTGGCGCTAGTATTGATAATAATAGCCCGAAAATTAAGGCATTACTTCCAAGGTCATCCAATAACTGTGAGGACTAATTCCCCCATCAAGTAGATACCTAAGAAGCAGGATCTAGCCGATGGAATGCTCACGTGGGATGTAGAGTTGTTAGAATACGATATCTAATTCACTATGAGAACTAACATTAAATTGCAAACACTAGTCAACTTCATGGTGGAACTAAGTGACCCAATATCGGAAGAAAATGCGAGCAAGTGGACTCTTCATGTTGACAGTTCATCCAACCTTAAAGGAAGCAAGGTCGGGGTCGTCCTTGAAGGATCCAATAACTTTGTGTTGGAATACTCCTTGAGCTTCAACTTTCAGGCTAGCAATAACCATGCAGAATACGAAGCCCTCATAGCAGGGATGAAAAATAATTGATTAATTAAATTAATAAAAAAATATTAATGATAAAAAACCTAAAACTTAATTATTTTTAGGGTTTACGAAAAACAATTATTTTAGGTTTGTAAAAAAAAGGTTTGTGGTTTTATGGTTAGATGAATTTAGGGCTTAAGAGAAAAAAATAGGGAAAAAGAACAAGTTAGAAGTAAAATCGCACAAAATATCAAGGGTGGGTGTTGAACCCACACCCTTATCCTTCCACACTGCATTAAGAACAAGTTAGAAGCAAAATTACACAAAATATCAAGGGTGGGTGTTAAACCCACGCTCTTAGCCTTCCACGTTGCATGGTTTACCACTGCGCCAGAGCTCACATATTTTGCATCAAACCTGCTCTAATGATGTATATGAACACATGTAAACGTATCAAATTAGTTAACAATGCATAAATCAAAGGTTTGAATTAAAAAAAAACTACCAAAATCGGTGAGGATGAACGTGATATTTTGGGCACGATCTTGACTGCTTAAGGATTGGGATGGATTCCTGGGCACTTCAAGATGATAATGCAATGCTTGATTTCAATTGAGAAAGACTGGAAACAAGGATTTTGTGTTGCCCTAGTTTCTTGAATTTTTGAAAGTTTTTGGAATAGTTTTGTCTGCAAGGATTTTTGTGTGATGTTATGTCCGAATGGAGAACAACATATAGAGAAGAATTAGGTTAAACCATTATGTCTTTGGACCTTGTAAGAAAAGCCTTGACTTTATCTTATTTAATTTTGAATTTAAATAAATAAAATCAAAATAAATAGAATAAAAATCAAAGGGGTGTATGAATAGGTTCAGAGGTTCACTATGAGGCCTAATACACGTTTGGACCTTGAAACATAAGCCCATTAGCCTAAAAATTCATGTTTGATCAATTTGGGTTTCATGCATTTTCTCAAAATTTCCTAACTTGTGTCCATCATAACTCTCTCAATTTTTATCATATAAAGGTGATATTAGACTTTTTGGAATGATCAAGACGTCCCTTACAATCTCTATGTTGATCATTTTTTCATTTGAAGAATTTATCTTGATATAAGTTACCTTGACAAAAAGTGTCATTTTGTTAACTTTTGGAATGACCTATAATGTTTTGGCCCAAATCTCTCAAATGAAGTATTTTTTGGACTTAATCTTGAAGAGACAAAGTTATAGAGAATTGAATTTCCTTCACAATGAGCTTTGGTTGAGGAAAATCTGATGAAGCATGTGAAAGTTATGCTTGGTCAAAGTTCAGTTGATTTCTCTTTAGGAAAACCTTAATTTGGCAACTTTTGACTTTGGATGATTTGAGAGTTTTCCTTAATGAATCATTATCAACCCTTGATCAAATGATGAATTTGACTTCAAAATCTTGATGTTAACCAAAAACCTTGAAGTTTGACTGTATGTTGACCACAATTGTCTTTTTATCCAATATAGTTAATTTTCAGTCATCTGAGCCATTGACTGAGCAAACTTGTGATACAAGGCATGAAACTTAAAATAAGCATTCTTAAGAGACATATAAGGAATCATGGAAACCACTTGAGGCCTTAGAAACTCAAATTTTCTTGAGAAAAATAAAACCCTAGTTTTAAGTCCATTACTTAAAATGAGAATTTGTATGATCAATTCTTGAGCAATTTTGAGTATTTGAGAATCCTAAGAAAATGTTTTAAGAAATAAGATGATAAATTTTAAAGTATAACCTAGTGCAAATAAAATTAGTTAATCAACTTCCAATAAATTTCTTGCAACAAATAACCACTTTCTTGCTATGCTAGCCCAAGTATAAGGTGGTCCAATAGCTAAGCCAAAACACCTTTGTTTCTATTTTTATTTTTAAACTTAAAAATATTCTTGTAATCATCTTGCTTGCTATATAAAATCCTCTTTACTTCTTTTCTTCTTTTTTTTTTTTGTTGTTGAATAAAATCATCTTTTATAGTATGCATCAACCTAAAACTCAATGATTCAACATTTTGTCACAATAACAATATCATCATACATTTTGACTGAAAATACAATCTAATTCTCACAAATCAACCCAACTCTAACCTTGTACAAATTTCATCCTTTGACAATACCATATGAACAAATCACTATCACTAAAATACAAGTAATATATACCAAAAACCCAAAAATAAAAAAATGAAATATAATTTAGGTAGTACTAGTAGTAGTATTAAGGATTTGTCACTGCACAGCCTAGACCAATTTTCCTTAATCGATCCTAAGCGGCAGCTAACCCAAAACCACAAGACTTAAGACTTGTTTTAATAACTCACATGTAATAAATTTAATTAATCAACCTCACAATAAATCTAATTTTAATTATCTTCCATCTAATCCTCCTTTTTTTCTTTCTTCAATGTCTTAAGAGTTTGAAGACAATGTTGACAAAGTAGTAGCTGATGAAGTTCTAGGAGAGGGAGAAGCATTCTTCAACACCACAGTTGGCAAAATGCTAGTTTTTCTCCTCTCTTGTTCCTTTATCAATTCACCTCCAAATAACTCTAACTTATCCAAATTCGTGTTCTCCGCAATCTTTCTTCCTTTAAACAATACCGATTCCACATTCTTCTGTCCTAACATCTCTTCCGAAACAGCCAACAAATCCGACTCCGTTTTTGCCGTGTTCCCCTTAGTTGCCTTTGCCATGACTCCGTTTGATTGAATCCGCACATAATTGTCCACCCTACATTCTCCAAATGCCATTGATACAGCTTGATCAACCTGCATTATAATATTCATTCATTAGTCACATTTCCGAACAATTTGTATATATAATTTATCTCAGTCACATTATAATAATCATAATATGTATATCAATAATTAAACTTATTCATTACACTTTTTCTTTTATTTCTAAAAATATAAAGGGACTTGTTTGTTTGTTAGGTGAAACATTCATTACTCTTAGCCTAATTAGTAACCACCACCTATTCAATTCCAATTATTTTTAATTGAATAATTAATGAAAAATAATTCAAAGATTCGCAACTTTATTTTCTTTGTCGTTTTCAGAAAATAATTGATTATTTTTTAATAATATAAGATTTATTTGCTTACCATATCGGAAGCACCTTCACCAGCAATCCTGACGAATCCTGACGCAGATTTAACGGCGTTAAAGTCTAATTCTCCGTTACCGAGAGAAAGCACCAATAAGTCAGAGACGCCGTTACAGAATGGAAACTCGTGTTTGTTGTTTAGCACGTGCGTGACGGCGGTAGCCGTTGGATTGTTCATCGCTATTCCGCCGTCAACGGCCATAATCTTGGTTTTTCCGTCGATGGACTTCATTTCGATGGGAACCGTTTGATCAGCTGACGTGGCAGCACAGACATCGCGCATCCTGTAATCGTAACCGTCGGTTTCAAGCGCATCGGCGCGGGAGAAAACGAACGGAGCGCGCGTGACGAGATCGTAGCAGGGGATTAAAACCGGTTTCAGTGTATCCTTCAGCGTAGATTCACCGAACGTTTTTCGGAAAAGCTTCGAAGATTTTGTTTCCGATTGTAGAACTCGCCGGAGAATCCCCGATCGCCGTGAGATTTTGTTCCGGTTGTTGATCAGGAATTTCAACGCCTCATCGGCCGTGAACATAGGGAGACCGTCTTTTGATTCTTTTCCACGCGTGAACAAAAGCGCGGCGAGGACGCCACCGACACCGGAGCCAGCGACGGCGTCGAAGAAACCTGCAATATTAGCGTTGGGATTGCCGGATTTTCGTTTGAGGCAGGATTCGAGGTGAGCGAGGGACTTTGCAGCGAGGATGCCGTCGGTGTAGCCGGCGCCGTCAATGCAGAGAATTCTGACTTTGCCGGCGGCGTGTTTAGCTTGTTTCATGTCTTTGGAGAGCGAATTCTTTGAATTTTCGGTATCGGGATAACCAAAGAGGAATTTATTCTCCAAGATGGAGAAGATTTCGTAGGTGAGTTTGTCAACTTCGAAGTTGGTGTCAATTGAGTTCAAGTTCATTTGTGATGTGGACAGTGCCGCCATTTCTGCAATTCGAGTGAATGCTTTTTTTCTTCTTGTTGAGTGAGAAAGAGAGTTAGAGAGAGTGAGAGAGAAAATTTGTGTATTGTTGAAAATGGTGAATTGTGATGATGAAGAATAGAGGAGGACGTGTGGTTATATAGTGGGATTGAGTAAATGTAACGATCCAAGAACATTCCAAAGATGTCCTAGTTAATGGCCATGTCATTTTGTATTTCTTTTTTCTTTTTTATAAGTTTCGGAAGGAAGAATGGAATTGATTGTTAAATAGAAATAATACATAATAAATATATCTATACTTATTTAATTTAATAAAAAGTGGTTGTAAATAGGGTGAATTCTCTCTCCTTTTTAAACTGATTCTCTACTTCAGAGAAATATTTATGATAATATTGTGGTGGCATAAAAAATAACTTGTACCACCCATGTATAAGATGAAAAGGAAGATGAAATATTTTGTAATTAAAAAATATGATATGTTAAAGTGCTGTTTCATTAAAAATATAAAATATTTTGAAGGGGATTGAATTTCTTTTGGAGCTAATTATTATTATAATGGTCTCTATTACAATTGTGATCACTAATATAAAATTGAATGAAATTATATCAGAATTTTTTAATATAAAATTGAATGAAATTATATCAGAATTTTTTAAATCTTAAAGGGGTTTCAGAAAAAGGGATCTTATTTCTTTGTCCCTGTTTGTTATTTGTACGGATAAATTGTTCATTTTATTCTCATAATGTTTAGCAAGGCTTTTTGAAAACTACTTGACATTTGCAGGTTGAGTAGCTCTCTATTAAATTGTTATTAAAGCTCTTCTTATCTATACAATGATGATTACTAATATTTCTAAAACTTATTTGTATGAGATTCAAAATTTACATTGTTCTTTTATATAGGGTGATATCGATGAACATAAAAGAGTTCATTCGATGAAGTGAGATGTGATGACCATGACAAAGTTCTTAATATGATTGGGTATTAGACGGTTGAATGTTATGTATAATAATTATATTTTAAGTTTTGGTTGGATCATTCAAATTAATGAACAATCTCTTTACTTTAAAGTTATGTGTGCAAAATATATGAGGAATAATGTTAGTTATGAGGACATGATTGTTAAGGAAAATAATTATAATTTGTGGAAGAATCTTGGTAGCTCGTGGTCTAAGTTTGTCTAATTTGCGTATTGGTCTATAGGAGGATTTGTTGGATTAACATAGTCAATAGAATGTTGATATTTTTAAGCATTTGTTTTCTAAAAACATGGTAGTTAAAATTGTAGATATTCTTCCTCCTGATAATAGTGGAAGAGATATTTGTTATTAGCTCAGTAAAAAAGGTGAGTATATTTTTTCATCAAATTATAAACTAATATATAATTTTGTCAGGAAAAATATTGATAATAGTTGGAGGTGGATATAGAAGCTTAAAGTCCCTGAACAAATTTTTTTTTTATTTGGTTGATTTATCATAGTAGTAAAATGAAAAATAAGAAAAAAATTAAATTAAATTAATATGACCTTTTAGTAGTCCCTAGAAAATAAAGGTGAAATTTATTATAGATGTCTTGTATGACTGTAAGTTGGTTTTTGTTATTTAGATTAATGTGGTTAAGTTGGATATGAATGACTTTTTTTTCACTAGTCATATTAAAGAGTAGGTGTATATTAATTTGTGTTTAGACTTTGTTATTAGTGGAGATCTATCATGGTCGAAACTTTAAGCAACCTCTTGCCATACACTTTAGATGTGAAAGAATAAGAAACAACGTGATAATTTTGAGACCTAGAATTCAGTGGTGGCAGGTTACTCAAGTTGCTTGTAAATATTTTTTTTGTAATAGATCTGCATGGTAATAAGGTGTTGGTTTTAGGGGCAAGTAAAATAAGATGGATTTCTATTTCAAATTGAGTGATATTGAATAAGGATGAAGATAGTAAAAATGGCTTGATAGATGGATGTGGTAGTCTTTTAAGAGGTAGTATGTGTGAGTGGTTTGAAGGCTTTGCAATATATTTGTGTTTCTATAGTGCATGTATTGCTAAAATTTAGATGTGCTAAAAAGATTAAGATTAATAAAAGAGTTCGAATTTTGAACTATTGAACTTCATATAAATATCAAAGTGGTTGTTTAAAACATTTTAGATTATTGACAAAATAATAAAATTGCAATGTATTTAACAAATTTAATAGTTGGTCAGACTAAATTAAAAAAATGCAAGTTTGTCATTCGAATACTTGTACACATTCACTTATTAACATATAGTGTGATTTAGATTCTAAGTTAATATTTTATGAGCGAATTTCTACTTAAATTTCTCATATTTTATTTGTTGATTATATTGGAGTCTTTTTTCAAAATTGATTGCTATGTATTTTTTTTTAAACTTTGATTTTTTTTTTCAAAAAATAAAAATAGCATATAATTAACTTTTATCAAATATAACAAAATTGATTGCTGCTGTATTGGACCAACTAACCTTTTTTATTTTTGAGAAAATGGACCAACTAACTTTAATTAATTAATTAATTTGTTGATAAAACTAACTTTAATTTAATGCCGCAGCATTTAGGGATTTAAACTCAAATTCAAGATTGGCGGTTAAATTAGAAACTAAGACATGTACTATTTGATCCTACAAAACCTCATGCCGCCATGATTGAGAAATGGTTTGATGACCAGTGTAAAAGATGAAAAATAACGGTATTTAAAAAATCAAAGTTGTGAGAAAAAGTAGTGTTTTGGTTAAAAAGAAAAGATAAAAATTAAGCCACAGTTACAATTCAACAAAACTTTATGTAAGATGATGTTGATGTGGGTGAAATTTAAATTTGTGTTGGTGGGTTTGTACTGTGTACAGTCTTTAACATAATCTAGCTTTCCTTTTTGTGCTACACCTTTTCTCCCGTGCTGTTGCTTTTGTTTGAGTTTATGAATTTTAAAACTTAGTGGGGGGAGGAGAATGACATGGTTTAATGCTTTCATCTAATTATTCTAATATTAATTATCTATATTTTTGTAGAACAAATTCTCAATATTACTTTATGTCGTTTTATGATAATGTTTTTTAATGGAAAACCATCTTTCACGAATTCTATTCATTTATTGGCTAGTGCTTAATTTCAAAGCATGCGTAGATTAATGCTAGAAATTGAATTGTTATATAATTCCAAAGCTAAAAAATAGAGTATTAATATACGATGTCAATATACTCAACAACATTCTTTTTAAAACTTCATATCTATCAATCAATAATATAATTTGTTTTCCTCTTAAATGGAACTTGTATTTGGGGTCTTCTTCAGGATATTGGTAAACTCTTATATATGGGGTCTATCTCACTAGGGCTAGATGTTACTATGTCAAAATAGTCTCAATGATATACAATTCTTCAAATATGAGACGCGTATAAGCAAAGTGTTTTGGATAGAAGTCCATGACATTACAAAATCACATATTTTTATATTTTATAAGAGTTAAGACAATGCCTACATGAATAACCTCTTTAACAAAATATTACTAAATCCAAAAATATATTTATGATGTTATTTATCTTTGAAAAAATTACTATAGATCCTCTAATTTCACTACCGAAAATATCTAAACATGTGTAAATAGAAATATCAGGACTCTTTACTTCTTTTTTCTTCTGTTATAGTGACTAAAATTCTCCATTTCTTATATCTTACTCAAATGACTTTAGGGCTCTTTACTTTCTTTCTTCATATGAAAGTTCAAGATTTATTACTCAATTTTTTATTATTAAAGTGAATTTAATATTTGAATTTTATTTATTATTGTCACTTATTATTTGAACAGATAAAGTCACACATTAATTAAAGATACAACCTACAAAAGATTTATATATGGTGACATCCTTCACATTACAAGCTAGTTTTTGTATGGATGAGTTAGATAAAAACTTTAATTCTAATATGGTATTAGAGCGTGTCTACTGAACTATGGGTCATCCATTGTTTATATCTACGCATCAGACTCAATAATATTGGGTGTGAATGGTTTATTAGGAAAATCTCAAGTTCACTTCAGTTAGAGATAGAACTTAAAAAAGAGTATATATAATAACACTACTATAAATAAGTGATATTATCTTGGTTGAAAAAATGATTTCACCTAGGTTTTGAGGGTGAAGGAAAGAAGTGGGTCATAGAAAGTGCGCCACTTTTTCTCTCGGTTTATTTGTCAATCGAGTAGAAATTTGAAACTAATCATAGATTTGATTCTCAAAAATAACATTTTTGTATTTTCAAAACTAGATACCAGTGGTGAGCCTATTTTAACATATTAATATTATAGGTTGAATTTCTGAATCGGGGGAATAAATTTAGTATTTTACCTCGGTTTGTAGAAAAAAACTGAGGATAAAACCGTTGTTTTTTAATTTTACGAAAATTTCCACTAGTATTTTTTGAAACGGAACAAAACCTAAATGAACTTAAATAGAATAAATGATTTTTTTTTAAAACAAAACAAAACTTAAATAGAACAAAAATAAAATGACATTCTCTTTTTACACCAAAAACTAAAACATATACAAATAATTAATCAACAAAGACAAAAACTAAATAAAAAATCTCTGATCAGACATACTAAACTCTTCTTTAAATGCTATAAGAGTTAAACACCTATAATTTAAATATAAATTAAAAATAATTAAAACAACACAACATCAACAGCAACAACATTAAAACTTCAATAATAACAATAACATTAATCATTTAATCTCAATAAATATACATTACTAAATCATATAAAATACTTACTTATCAATTTTCTCATATCTTTTATTGATGATCAAAATGAATATCATATAAATCATATGAACCATTTTCTTAATATGAGATACACATGTGTGTTGCAAAAGAATAGGTCTAAAAAATATCAAGATTAAATCTTGATTTTCATCACTATCGAGAATATGTATTTCTTGTAGAAAAATTGACAATATATTATTATAAGGGTCAATGACATAAA